AAGTCGGATGTCGAAAAGATCATATCGTATTTGCTTGAAAAGCGAAATGAGGACCCTTACAGAGGAGTTATCGATAGGACAATATACCGTGCGCTCTACACTCCATTTGATTGTGTCCCGACTTTTGAACCGTAAAACGGTCGAGCTCCTATGGGAACTATTGATTGTAGCTATATAATTCGTCCCTGTGGAGGGGGACTCTCATGTTAGAGAGACTCTCACTTGGTTCATTTCTTTTGTTATGTCATCTGACAGTTAGAATAATTCTTGTAAACAATTGGACACCATCTTACTTGAGGTTATGTATTAGTAAAAGTCGTTTTGAATATAAAAACAACAGAATTGTCATGTGTAGCCTATTATTTTTAATTTTCTAAAAAAAATCCTCCCTATATATAATTCCTGAATACGCTGAACCTACATAGCTGCTTCTGGTGCTTCGTAATCTTACTTGACGAAAAATCATGCTTTGTAATTAGGTTTGAACAAATAATATTGATATATTAATAATTAATAATCTAGGTTTGGACATTCCATAAATATTATTTATCTAACTTAAGTATTTTAATATTACTTGTACTAATATAACCCTTTAATTATTTGTAATTTTACATAGTAAGACACCAAGTGACTAATATATAGCTATTAAATTGTAAATGTATTTTAAAAATTGATAACTTTTGTATTTATTATCGGTTTTACTTTTACATATATTATATATCAAATTAATCATCTTTTGATGATCTTCGATTTGACATCCATATTGTATATATGAAATAAATAAATTATACTTATTTTTATAATAATAAAGAATAATAATATTTATTAAAATTCGTTAGAAAAATAAAATTATTTATCATTTGATATATTTATTTTTAATGTAGTTATATGTTGTAAGTTAAAAAATTATTATAATTTGACACAGGTAAGTCGCACAAATAAAAAAAGTCATACTAAATATATAATAATATATATATTTTTGTAAAAGGTATTTAAAATTTCAACTATTTTTCTCATTAATTTTAGATTTTAAGAAAAAAATCAACAAACACCCGTGCAATACACGGGTGTTGTACTAGTTATGAATAAATCACATCAGTTGTGTAGCCTATTATTTTTATTATTACTTGAGGTTATATATTAGGATTATGAATAAATCACATCAATTATGTAGCCTCTTATTTTTAATTTTGTATAAATGAAAAAAAAAAAAACAATTGTCGTAATAAATCTTTTTTTATTAATATATATATATCTTCAATAAGAGGTAATAAATCTATAATTTGATTTTCACAATTTTTAAATTATAATATATTATTAGTGGTTGGCGTAAAAAAAAATATTTGGTGATTTTTGTTTCTTGTTTCCATATTATAATAATCAGTACAATTACTTGGTCCTATAAAAAGGTGAAGGTTTGATCATTGATCACAAAACATATATAGCACACTGACACCATCAAGAAATTAAAAAAACAATGGATGTTGGTATAGTTTTCTTTATTGCTTATATGCTTTTCTCTTATTTTTCTTGGTATACGGTTTTGCTATGGAGCTATCGGATGACTTCACTTGTGGAACCATTTATAGTTATTCACAAATGGTGTATCGACACGTGTCATGCATTACATACATATTGGACATGTGTCAGTACATAAAGTTATGAATGACTCCAGAAGGAACCATCCGATGGCTCCATAGCAAAACCGACATACATACAAAAATTAAGTGTTATATTTACTACTGTGTGAAATGCGAATGCGAATCTTCAGGAGATGATCACCATGGTGAGAAGTGAAGAAATTAGAAGACATGTTTTCTTATATCTTACAGTAGTTGCTAGTTAGTTAGTGGCAGTTAGTTATGGATTGGTGAATTTTTTTTATTTTTTTATTTTTATTTTTTATTTTTCATGTTTTGATGACTGATGACATATCATGAATAAATGAACAACCTTTGTTTGTGTTTTTAGTTTTAATATATATCTATTTTATTTTATAAGAATTTTATTGGATTTTTTTTAATTAATATTGATAGGAAGATGTTAATTATTTTTATATAGAGAAAACAAAAAGTATTCTTGTACTTTAATTAATTACAAAATGCTAAAGTTGAATATATTCATTGGAAGAATATTAATTCTATATGCAATTTATAAAAACTACTACCTCCTATTCTTTTTAAATGTCATTTTAGCTTTATCAACTATTAACCAAAAAAATGTCGTTTTGGTATTTGGTACATGTTTTTTCCATTATTACTCGTATTTAGTCAATAAATACACTACGTCTTTTCATATTCACTCTTTATCTTTTCTCAAAACATTCATCTCTATCTTCATTAAATATGGTTATTAATGACAATAGAAATATTCTTAATTATCGTGTCACTTCTCAAAACGACATTTATTTTGAATAGGAGGGAGTATGTAATCTATATTTATATCTATAATCTATATCTATCTATAATCTATATCTATAATCTATAATCTATAATCCATATCTATCTATAATCTATATCTACAATCTATTTATCTATCTATAATCTATAATCTATAACTCCCTTAAAAAGATGAGTTATTTCTTGAAAATTTTGAAATGCCCATATTACCCTCTAAAATTTTACTATTTAAGGACATAAATGTAATAATATAACTTCATTAATATTTGATCCAACCACATTGAAATAAAATCTGAAATGTCACTACTACCCCCAATAAAAAATAATGTTACTTCTAAAAGTATTATATTATGTTACTTCCAAAAATTTATATTATGTCTTATTCCAAATACATTTACTACTTGTAATATAAACAATCAAAATTGTCAAATAACAATTTAAATTTTAATAAGAATAACTGAAATATTAAAACACATGACTTAATATAAAATTATTTCTAATAATTTCAAATAAAACGTTTTAAATCATATTATGATGTTTTAATCATGAATGTCATGACATAGTACTCAATTTTTTCTTATAATATTCCTTGTGTATATTATAATTAATAATTTTTTATGATATTAATCTACTGAAAAAAAAAATTGACCGGTATCCAAATTTTTAAATGAATGTATTGGCACAACTACAAAAGTAAGATTTTTTTTCTGTACAAATATTAAAAATTCTTGTAATGCAAAGTCAATAAAAAAATTAAAAAAAAAAATAAATAATCAATTGAACTAACCTTTTATTGAAACCAAACATTTATCTATTTAACTGGTTTTTTTCCAACGTCATAATATATTAATCTTTTTTTATTCTTATTGTATTATTTCATTATAAATATATTATTTAATTAACTTATGGTTCTCAT